GTCTGGGTTTCTTACCTGGCAGCTGGCTTCGGAAGGAACAAAAGTAGAGCGACCAGGCTCCTGCGGAGCTCGCTGTGGAGCTGGCACAGTGTCACGCCCACCAGATTCTACGAGTCAGGGAAGTCGTGTGCCGAGGAGGAGGAGGGGATGGATCTCTGCTTGGCGGGTGCTGCCGCTCATACTGTAAGGTGACCAGACATTCCGCTTTTGGCGGGACAGTCCCTATTTTTAATAATTTGTCCCCACATCCCATGGCGTTTTTTTTTTTTTAAAAAAAGTCCCGATATTTGGAAAGAATCTTCTTTCCAAAATCTTCTTTCCAAAAATCAGGACTTTATTAAAACGCCGTGGGACGCGGGACAAATTGTTAAAAATCGGGACTGTCCCCCCAAAAGCGGGACGTCTGGTCACCTTATCATACTGGGATGCGTGGTGCTTGTGGCCATCGGGGGAGACTGACACCGGCCCCGCCTCCTGGCTGCCAGCCTCTCTCCCAGACCCTGGGCCCCATCCCAGGACGCCCGCCCCTCCAGGGACGCACCAGCGCTGCCTGCCGAGGCCCCCACCAGAAGGGCTGTGCCTCCGAATTGTCTTACCTGGTCCTCCCGCCCAAGGACGTCGTGCTCCGTGCCTGGCTTCCTGAGGATTTATCCTACTGGTTTCTTCCAGGGCAGCACCAGTTTTCCTGACTTCCTGGTTGCAGCCCCTGAGTTAGCCTGACGTGTCTTGTCCTCAGGAACCTGGTACGTGGCAGTAGGTCATCAGCCACCGGAACAAGACGGTATCGGGTGCATCTTTGCAGGCCCAGCATCAGCACTGCGTCTTCTTAGAAGAAAAGCTCAGGGCACAAGACTTTCTTGTAGAGAGCCTCCTGGGAAGGCACATGGACATTCTTTAAATTGTCAGCTGAGCCCGAGGCACTGGCTGAGTCCTGTCTGGGTTACACCCCTCCCCCCGCCAAAAAAGGTGGGGGGTGTGGTCAGTTCTGACTTACTTTGTCCAGGTATCAGCAGGGGTGGATCTAGATATGTAAATCCAGGAATGCTAGGGCCTAGTTAAGAAGGCAAACAAGCCGAAACCGGTTTGGCTCAGTGGTAGAGCATCGGTCTATGGACTGAAAGGTCCCAGGTTCGATTCGGGTCAAGGGCATGTACCTGGGTTGCGGGCACATCCCCAGTGGGGGTGTGTGCAAGAGGCACCTGGTCGATGTTTCTCTCTCATCGACATTTCTAGCTCTCTATCTCTCTCCCTTCCTCTCTGTAAAAAATCAATAAAATATATTTAAAAAAGTAAAATCTTAAAAAAAAAAAAAGAAGAAGAATGCAAATAAGCTCCTTTGACCCTATAAAATAAACCTGCTGTGTGGCTCGGTCGCTTGCTGCCTCTCCATCAGAGAGATGGTGCCCACCTAGCTCCCAGCTTGACGAATCTATTTCTGCCTCCCTGGTCTCTTTCTTTAATTTCTTAATCCCCATCTCCTCCACTCAGCAACCTGACTGTTTCCTTGTCCGTGACGGAGATGGACGCGGAAAAGAGAGAAACACCCCCTGCACTTTCTGGCACCAGGTTCACAGGCTCAGGCCTTGAACAAAGGAAGAGTCTCACTTCTCCAGGACCAGCCTCCTCATCACCTGGGAATGTGGTGAGGAATACGGACCCTCTCTCCCTACGCATCCCATCCTGACCAGGGCCCAGGGCCGGGGATAGAGCCTGACACCAACATATGTGCCCTTGACCAGAATCGAACCCAGGACCCTTCAGTCCTTGGACGGATGATCTAGACACCGAGTACACCAGCCAGGGCCAGAGTCTGTGTTTTCACAAACACCCAGGTGCTCCTCATGTGGGACAACGGAGGTCCCCAAGGTGCAGAAACAGGAGCAGCTTGGAAGACAGGTGGCAGGGAGTCCCCCGAGGCGATGAGGCGTGGCTCTCAGCCCTGGCGGATGGCTAGAATCACCTGCGGTGCTTTTTAAACCTCCCGATGCCCTGTGTGTGCCCAGAGGAGTTAAACCCAGGTCTCTGGCGGTCAGGCCCGAGATCAGGATCTTCTCAGAGCTCCTCGGGTGATTTCAAGGGGCAGTGGGTTGAGAACCGCTGGTTCGGTGTTTTAGTTCTTACAGAGCAGTCTGTGGGCCACCGGAGCCCACGTCACTTGGGGGCATGGAGTGAATATGCAGAGTCCTGGACCATGCGCCATATTTTGAGTCTACATCCCCAGGGGTGAGGCCCAGGACCCACATTCTTGTAACCTTCCCTCTAGGTAATTTAAACCGCACTGAAGTTAGAGCCATTGAGTTCAGGACCCTGGATAAGTGATGACAATGGCAATGGTGTTTCTAAATGCTGCCAAATTTCTGAACGGGAAAATGTAGGGAAACAAACGTAGGAAATAAACCTCCACAAACCTGCATACGCCTCCTGCCTAGAGAGCATCAGAGGCCCCGCTTGGCCCCCCCTGTGGAGCGGGAAGGAGACCCCCCCCCCTCGCCCAGAGAAGCTGCCACGGCAGGCAGGGTCGGGGTGATCTGGGCTGTGCTCTGCGGCAGGGCGGAGCCTGTCATCGGCCGGGACAGAATTATTGCCTCAAATTACATGGTTGATTATCAATTACTTGTGTCTGTATGAGAGCATGTGCGCGCGTGTGCGTAAGTGTCTCTGCAGATCATTAAGGGCCATAATTCTGGATTATCGTTGATTAACGAGAGGGAGACCTGGTACCTCCCGCAGCCGGGATGGCAGCCCCGCAATTATGTCCCAGCTGATCCCTAATTGGTGCATCACGAGATGATCTCTCCCTCTCGGTCGCCTCCTCCCGGCCTCTCCTGCGGCTCTGCAATTAGTGCCATTGCTCATCCCCTTCCAGCCGGGCTGAGCTCAGAGACATGCTTTCCGGCAAGTGGACGCCACCATGGGGCTGGCTTTGAGGGCCACCAGCCCAACATGGGGTGGTGGCGGTGGAGTATGGGATGGTGGCGGTGGGTGTGGGGTGGCAGTGGGTCCTGGGGTGGCGGGAGATACTCAGCAGCGGGGTGTGGAGCTGGCATGAGCTCTCTCTGGTCAAGGACGGATGCTGCCTTCAACAGTCTTATCATTATTCCTCCCAGCAAGCCTCCGAGCCATTCTCCAGCCTCCCTACTCCTCCCTCACCACACGGATGGGGAAACTGAGATCCGGAGAAGGAAAGTGGCGAATCAAGAAAAAATAATCCAAACTCAACAATTCCGAACAGCATGGCAACGTGAGTCCAACCCCATGGAGCCGAGGAAGGAGCAAAGATGTGGGAGTCCCCCCCACCGTCACGCCCATCCCGGGGAGGCTGTTCAGGTCACCGCTGAGGGTCTCAGTTTCCCTGAGCAACACAAGCTTTTGTCCTGCGGAGTTTACAGCTCGCTACAGCCAGCTCCCCAGGTCAGGAGGACCGGCACTGCGGGCATCCGTGTTAGGTCAAGGCACCGCCCCCTGCATTAGGGCCACGGCCACCTAACAGTGCTTCCTACCTTACCTGGAGCCCCCAGTGCCCGTCACACCGAGACAGAGGATCCTTGCAACGCCCCGTTTTACTCCCAGCAAAGCCCCCAAGAGTCACTCACTCATTCATTCACACAGGAGCTACCTGTTGAGCACCTCCTGTGTGTAAGGCACTGTGTTAGGCACAATGGGAGACCAGACAGACTCAGGCTTACTCCCTCTGCACCCTGTCCCTCGAGGTGACCCTCAGGATAAAGTTTGGGTCCCAGTCTCTTTTCTTGCTCCACCCACCCGCCCTCTCCATCCCACACAGACTCCTCTCTTCCTTCCTTGGCCCAATCGGATCCCTCTGCCTGGGGCCCCATTCCCTCCTCCCATCGTCTTTCTCCTGGGGCCCACAACCCCGGGGTAGGCTGTTCCTGAGAAAGGGGTCTGTCCTCAGCAGGGACCAGCCATCACAGAAGCACAAGCTTTAGGGCTGGCTCTATGGGGTGGAGGTGGGGTGGGGAATGAGAGGGGGAGGGGAGGAGAAAATGGGGAAGGCAGGGCTGTTCGGGAAACCGCTCCATAGAAGACTCCTGTGGCTGCAGAGCGGCCAGGCCGTTTGTTAGTGAGCCTTGCAGCTGTCTTGGCCATTTTCATTTTTATCTACTTAGGGTGGTCAGCAGGTCATGGCAGGCGGGAGACGCAATGCTAATGACTGGCTCCACGTGGCGACCATTCAGGAAAAAGCTGCAATGTTCTCCCTGCCACATTAATCAGAAAAACACATCAAGAGCTTTTGTGTGGAGACAGCTTTCCTCCCGGTACCTGCCCTGCATACTAATCGCCAGCCCTGCTGGCGGTGAGTCAGCTCCGAGCCAGGCGGACAGGGAGGGAAGGCCAGAAACGCCGGCTCCATGCATGTAGGGAGCAGCCAGCGGGGCGGGAGCCAGCACACACACACACACACACACACACACACACACACACACACGGCACAAGACCATGGCCATCACTGGGTCCCAGGCAGGAGGAGATGGCAAATTTTGAAAGAGCCGTCCAAATGCAAACCCTGGGCTCCATCCTCGGGTCTAAGTCCTCCCCAACGCTACCAGAGGGAACTCTCCAGAAGTCCATCCCCTGATAGAGTCTGGCTAAAGAGTGGCCTCTTTGCCAGGCACTTTGGTAACAATAAGATGTAACCGTAGTGCTGAACACGGCAGGACACCTGTGAGCAGATGAGGGAAGAGCTTGCACCAGTGGCTCTCAAAGTGTGGGCCCTGCCGAAACCGGTGTGGCTCAGTGGATAGAGCGTAGGCCTGCGGACTGAAAGGTCCCAGGTTCGATTCCGGTCAAGGGCATGTACCTTGGTTGTAGGTTCATAACCCGTAGGGGGTGTGCAGGAGGCAGCTGATTGATGTTTCTCTCTCATCGATGTTTCTAACTCTCTGTCCCTCTCCCTTGCTCTCTGTAAAAAATCAATAAAATATATTTTTTTAAAAAAAGTGTGGGTGAGCGGCTTCAGGGGCGTCTTTAGAATCAGCAACATGGCAGAAGACATCAAGACAAAAATCAAGAACTACGGGACTGCTTCTTTTGACAGCTGCTTCCCCAACCAGAACCAGACCAGGAACTGTTGGCAGAACGACCTGGACTTCCACCGCTGTGAGAAGGCAATGACACAAAAGGGGGTGATGTCTCTGTGTGTGAATGGTATCGGTGTGTACACAAGTCCCGGTGCCCCATATCCTGGGTTTCGGCCTGGGATGACTGCCCGGCAGAAGGCGCGTTTCCTGGGAAGATCTGAACTGGGCATCCTCCATCCTTCTCCCAGGGAGGTGAAGGGGGGCCTGAGTACACCCCAGCCTAGAATCCTGAATCATGGCTTAACTAATAATAAATACTTGTTGGAAATATGTAAAAAAAAAAAAAAAAAAAGTGATGTCTTCTAGAGGCCCCTTGCCACCCGATCTCGCCAATGAGTGGGCTGCAGGAAGCACTGGTCAGGCGGTGAATCTTGCTGCTGGGGAAGTGCCTTCGTCCTTCACGTGAGGAAGAACTGAGGAGGCCCAGACCCTCCTTACAGTCCTCAGGAGGCACTGGGGCCCCCGTGAGCAAGGGACATTGCACTGCTCCCCTCCTCAGGAAACAGCCCCGCACACACTCATACCTGAAGGACCCTGGGCAGCTAGGCTGGGAGGAGCCGGATGTGGTCACACCTGTTCGCAGGAGGTGTTAGCCCAGAAATAGATCAAACACCCCGCCACCCCCGGGCTCAGCGGCAAGTGACATTTATGGAGTCCCTACTATGTGCTGGACACCGTGCAAGCCCTTCTGCACCTGCTAGCTCTCAGGGGGGATTCCCAGGTCTGAGGGCTCCTTCTGCCATTCCGTCCGCAAATACTTAAGGCTTGTTTGTTTTGGCCTGCGCATCAGGACACGATGCTGAGCAGGACGTGGATGGTCTCCCCCTCTGAGCAGCATGGTGGGGAAACAGGCACATACACATGTTCCAGAAAAAGGTGTTTTTAGGGCCAACCACAAGGACTTGTGGTATTATTTTTAAGAAACACTATTTCTTTTTAAAATATATATATATATTTTATTGATTTTTTTTATAGAGATGAATGGAGAGAGATAGAAACATCGATCAGCTGCCTATTGCATTACCTCCCACCGGGGATGTGCCTGCAACCAAGGTACATGCCCTTGACTGGAATTGAACCCGGGACTCCTCAGTCAGCAGGCTGACGCTCTATCCACTGAGCCAAACTGGTTTCGGCTAAAACACTATTTCTTTAAGAGTCCTTAGCAGGGAGAAAGAAACCAAGAGAAAAGACAGTCTGCTAGAGCCTCTCGCACTGGCGTTGCCCACAGTTACTGTTAAACATCATCACCTGGCAGTGGTTGAGCTCATCGGTGTCCCAGGCCCTTTGCATCTCCTTAAGGACAGGCTGGCCAGTGTCCACTGCCTCCCCAGCCCCAGCTGTCCCTCCCCTCTCTGTCGGGCTTTTTCACAAGAGGCACAGGGAATTCCTGCATCTGCCAAGGGACACCTGCCTTCTTCCTTCCTGGCCTGGCATCCTGCAAACCTGACAACGAGGTTTGGAGGCCGGGGCCTCTGGGGAGAAGTGGGGAGTTTTTTAAAAACATGTCCCTGTTGTTTCCCTTGCTGATCGCCCCCACCCCCACCCCCAGCTGGCACATGAACTTGTTCTTCCTTTCTAAGACTCTGAGAAAAAGCACCATCTGGCAGTTTCATCAGGCCCAGGGCCCGCTTCCACCCAGCCCACTCTGCTTTCCTCTCAGCCCCAGGCCTGCAGAGGGATCCAGCTTTCACAGGGCACAGGGAGAGGGAGGGAGGCCACGGTGACAGCGGAGACGTGCAGAGCCCTCGCCGCTGGCCCGGAGCGCTTCTGGTTCTGGGTCTGCAGGTGTCGGGATGCTTGCAACAGCCCCAGGGGGACCGCTATCACCACCCCCGTTTCATGGAGGAAGAACTGACATGTGGAGAGGATCGGAGACATTCTCATGCTCACGTGGCGAGTGATGGCAGACTGGGACCTGAGCCACAAGAAGCATCAGACTTCGCTGATTTGTACATGGAAAACACGATCTTGGCTAAAAGATGTGGGAAGTAGGGGGAGAGAGTTTAGAAAGAGAGATCTCACCCAGGGATCTCGCCCTCCTGGCTGGGAAAGAGGGATGCCAAAGAAAAGGCCAATAAATCCACCAGGAGGGGCAGGCCTGGCTGACCAGGCTCTGAGCTCGGTGAACAGCAGAGCCAGGGAACCCCCCGCAGGACTGGAAAGCCTGGAGCCCACAGCCAATAAGGAGGGAATATGCTAATTGATTGCCATGCCCTCAAAGATGGTGGTGCCCACAGTCATAAGATGGCAGTGCCAGTACTCTCAGCCCCCCAGCTGCCCAGGGCCAGCCTGAGACATAGGCAAGCCTCAGATGTCAGTTGCCCAGGGCCACCTGAGGCTCAGGTAACCAGGACCACCTGAGGCTCAGGTAGCCAGGGCCAGCTGAGGCTTGTGCTGCCGGCAGTGGCAGCAGCAGAGGCAGAGGCATGATGGGGCATCGCCTTCCCCTGATCATCAGGCCACTTCCCACCCTGAGGGCTCCCTGCCTGTGAGAGGAGGCAGGCCAGGCGGAGGGACCCCCCCACTCCAGTGCATGAATTTTCATGTGCTGGGCCTCTAGTTATTAATGATGAACTACAATGTTCACTAATGACTGGTTACTATAATCGCATTGCAGTCATTTCCCTTACGTGCCTTACGCGCAGGCGCACCATTTCTCTCCACTAATACTAGCAGGGAATATTTTAGCAGCCGATTGACACGTCATTAGTCTTGGACTGACTTGTTTGGTGTGAGTAACAGGAAATATTTCACTTTCAGAGAACAAGAAAAATAGGTTTATGTGCATTATGCTTATTACTTTGTGCAGTTATTCAGTATCTGGTAAGTTAATGTTAAAGAAAAAAATATTAATTTTCATTAAAATGTCCTATTATTTTATGTTAACAATTACTAATTTATTTCAGCCCTTTGTATTCAGCATGTCTCTATCGAAGTAAACCTATGTTTGTAGGAAAATTGAAGCTTTTGTTTTTTTGTGCCCACAGAAACTTAAACCTTGTTTATTTGGCCTGTGTTAGCCTTTGAGTTGGACATACTTGGTCTAGCCATTATACTGTACACCTGAAACCAATAATATTAAGTGTAAAATGTAATTGAAAAAAAATTAGATTAGAAACATGTAAAAAAGGAAAAAAAAAAAAAAAAAAAAGAACCTACATAGGCTCCTGGCCCATCAGAGGTGTGTGGCCCAGGTCCTGCCTCAATCCTTGCTATTTCTTCCATAACAGAAAGGAGGGAGCGAAGGCTCCCGGGGCGACTGGGGCTGGGCCTGCAGGGCCAGGCAGACACCCACGTCTCCAGGACACTGGGCTTTCTCCTCAGAGCAGAGCCCGAGGGCCACAGCCCCTACCCAGGCCGGGAGGAGGAGGTGGGCAGTGCCAGTCCAGGCAGAAAGTGGAGGGGCTCTGACTCCCTTGGCAGCAAGTTGCTTCAATCCAGAGGCCAGTGTGGGGGCTGTGCCCTAGCCTGGCAGGCAGAAATCTCCCCAGCATCCCTGGGTGGGCAGCAGCCAGAGGCAAAGCTGCTCCTTCCCCCTTGCCACCATCCCCTGGGGAGGAGGGGTCAGCTGGCAGGGGAGGGGTCAGCTGGCAACACAGCCCCTCCCTCCAGACCCTGGGCCTTGCTGGGTCCTTCCCGCCATCTCCCCTGGTGCAGACCCACGTGGGGGCGCAGGCCTCGGGTCCCAAGCCCAGGATGGAGTTTGGCTGTTGTTGGCCCTCTGTTGCCCCTTTTGGTATGGGTCCAGGCGGTGACCCCTGCTCAGGGTTTCCCCTTCAAGAGAAAAAGTGAAGGGACTTGGAAGGGACCCATTGTCCCAAGAAGTAGGGCACGGAGTGGGAATTTGGAGGCAGCTGTGATCGTTCAGCAAGGAGGAAAGGAGGGCAGCTTCCTTTTCTTTTCTTTTTTAACACTAGTTTTTTTCTTTCCATAAAACACACACACACACACACACACACCAAAAAAAACGTGAACACAGAGGTAAAGAGAGAAAAAGTGAAAAGGTCCTTTTATTCCCAGGTGTGACCATGTCACTGCTTTCCCAGCAGTGACCTACATTAGCAGTTGGCTGTGTATCATATATCACCCTGACTTTTTCTGGGCATTTACACACACGGGTACACACACATATACATGCACATGCACATGCGCGCGCGCGCGCACACACACACACACACACACACACACACACACACACACTCTCAATGTGTGTGATGCCAGGATCTTGCTTTTCTGGGCTCTTACATAAATGGGATTGTGCTGCCCACACTGCTCCACAATGTCTTCTCTGGAATTGTACATCCCGGACATTTTCTCCTGCCAACATACAGGGGCATCCCTGATAGCTCTTGCTTTTTAAAACTTCTGCCCAATATTGCCCATGTGGGAGTAACAGGGTCCTTGTCACACACCAAGCCTAGGCCAAAAGGCTTCTGAGTGTGGGCGGACTCCCTGGCTCTGCACAGTTCCAACGGGAAGCCATCCACATGCAGACGGTGGCACTGCTTTCTCCTCAGGGACAGAGAAGGCATCTCCCATTTTTCTTCTCTGTCCTTGCAAACCAAGGCCTCCTGTGCACACACGTGAGTCACTCTCTAGGCGTTGATGCCTTGAGCAGGTGGGCAGATGCCGCAGTGTGGGAGGGCGGTTTGGGGCATCCTACCCCCGCTTGGCCGCACCAGTCCCCCCAGCCCACATCCATCAAGTGGCAGTTGGCTGGGCTGGCTGCTTCCAGGAAATCAATTGCAAAGACTGGCGATCGTCAGTGCTTGCACCCTGGAGGCCATCCAGGGAGTAGATTAAATCGTAGGAGAAAATCGTATGGGGCCCGAGACTACGCACAATGCAGACTCCTGGGCAGCCTCTCTGGAGAAGTGAAAAGAACAAAGGCAGACATGCTCTCACTCCCCATCGCCCACCGTGGCCACCTGCCCGAGCACCGCCCTCCGCCCTCGGAGAAGCCGCTCCCCCTTAGCAGGCCTGGTGGGGAGGAGGAGACCTGGTCCAGGGCTATGGGGGTGCAGGCAGGGAGGCCGGAGGGGGCACCTGCTTCTCCGGAGGGCAGACCCAGCTGACCATCAGCTCCTCAGCTGCTCAAGGCCAGGGAGCCCCTTTCTCCACCACCTGCCCCCTCTGCCGCCTGCAGCCAGTTAGCAACCCTCCGCTGAGCCCTCTCCACCTACTCCCCAGGCCATGGTCCCTCCGGCTGAGCACAATCCTCTCTCCCCCTACCCCCTGCGCACACAGGTGCAGGCACCTCTTAGTTTTTTTTAATTTATTATTTGTTTGTTTTTGTTTGTTTT